AAATAAATTAAAAATTTTGTATTGTTCGATACATATGCGAACTGAACCGAAAGCACTGTATCGAACGGCTCAATATCGATACGAGTATTGTTGCACCCCTAGTGTATAGTGTAAACTAGGGATGGGAAGCCACAGTGTTTTTTTGCTGGCTTTGGTTTCAGATTCATTTATACTGAATTCCCACATGCAGTGCACAAGAATGGCAAAGATGGATGTGTTTATTATGTTATTTTGGCAAAAACAAATTTAAAAAACAGAACAAAAGACCGCAAATCCTCTTTTCCATTGATAATTCATCCCCAAATGTTCTCATCTACCCTTTCCACCCTCACACCCCTCCTTAGGTCAAAGCAAGTCCAAGGTGGAAAACCAAGTCTGCTGTGATGGCTGTGCATCTGTGCAGAAGCCTTGGATCAATCAAGTAATGCACTCAATACATTGTTTGCTTTTCCCAGGCCTGCCCAGCTGGCTGACTTTTTTCTATTAATGCAAGTCAAAATGCTTAATCTCTAGAAAAATCTAATTGTTTCCAGTGAAGGCTATAAGCTATAAGCACTGTTTTCAGCTTTCAGCTCTTTTCCATTTGCTTACAGAAAAGGGAAGAATATAATAAGTCCATTCTGGCAAGATTTTTAATTAGATAATTGATTAGAAAGAATTCTGGATAGCACAGGTCCAGAATTAAAGGTAAATTTGAGCAGGATTCAGTTGCTGCAAAGAACAATAGAATGTTCTTTAAAGAACAATAGAATGTAGAGTTAACGGCAGTCGAACCCAGTGATCCCAGTGCAAAAAAGAGTGTGTTTTTGTACCACTTTGATGAGAAAGCTCGGAGCTCCACCCCGCTCCTTTTACATGGTTACTCAGGGTGTTTTCTATCTGATATATAGGATGTTTCTGCATTGCTGCACACATAACTGTTTTATTTCTGATTCTTCAAGTGCTGTGGGGACACACCGTTTGGCTCAGCACAACGTGGAGTTCTCTGTTGTAATAAGACCTTGTACGAGAACAGAGATGATGGAGATGAATGTTCAGAGACGGGTATTCCTTATGACCCGACTAAAGGGACCATATGTTGCTCTCAGTTTCATGGCAGCCCGGGACAACACTGCTGTGGGACAGAAATTTACCAGCCTGATGCTGAGATCTGCTGTAACGGACACAGGTGATTGTGTATGTGTGTGTGTGTGTGTGTGTGTGTATCCTGAGGGACAGCTCAAGTCAAGCATTTTTGAGACAAAGTTAGAGAGGTGAGGCTGTTTAGGCATGTGCATTGGAGGGATTGTCGATATACTGGACAAAGAATGTTAAATCTGGAGCTGCCAGGCAGGAGAAAGACATTACTCTCACATGAAGATTTATGTATGTACTAAAGAGGACATGCAAAGATTTGGTGCGAAAAAAAGAGGATGGTAAGGAATATCCAGAGTGGGAACTTCTAAAGGGATCAGCTGAAAGAAGAAATCTGTTTCGGGTTGTATTGTATTGCTGATGAAATCTGGTGAAACAAACTTCTTTCTTTTTTTAATTAGTTGGTATGTATCGCTGGATTGCATTTTGTCTCTCAGGACAGCTAAAGGGAACCACTTAATGTAATGTTTTCTGAGAGAGGGTGGAGGAAAACTCAGAAAGGAGTGGCATGGAAAAATAATTTTTCATGGAATGTATATGCGTCTGCGATACGCAAATGCTCCAGCTGTGCACAAACCGCACTTTTTGTATCCCCACTTTGTTTTCAGTGTGGTGACTTTAAAATGCACTGAGCTACTGTGCCAGAGAATTTCTGTCTCAGTCTGTGTAGTCTCTGACTGGGTTTGGTCCTGTTTTAAATAAAGTTTATTGTTAAGGGCTATGTTCATGTGTGCATGTCTTTTCATAATTATGTTCTTTGGCTTTCTTTTTAGAGGTTATTATTTGAATTATCACCCTACTCAGCAGCAAATAGCATTAAGATTTCAGTTTTTTTCTTTTCATAGTTTGCTCTTTACAAGATGAACTGGTTGAATCTTGGCTGCTCTAATCAAGCTTATTTCCAGCTGGAGTAGCTGTCAAAGTGTGGGTGACAACACCTTTATGTTATTTTCTGGTTTTATGTTTTATTCTATTATCCTTTAGATTGTTACATTGTTATGTCTGTTTTTTGTGTTTTATTATAAATTGATTTTCATCTGTAAAAGTGCTTAATAAGTACATTTTACTTTTACTTACTAACAGCGTCAGCATTACACATAGCCATAGCCAGCAGCCACTACCTTAATTATAACTAAGCAAGCAGCTAATGTGGCTGCAGGGTAACTGCTAAGAGTTAAATGGCTAACATTAATATGATAACTCCATAGCATGTTACTGTTGATGAAACAGAAGCATTACTGATGTCACAAAATAAATTGATGTTCCATGATGTGAACATTATCAACAGTTTATGTTCAGCTGCTAATGAGGGGAGCATCTATGTATGCCTATCTTTAGCAGTGCTGTCTGAAGTTGCACGTTCACTGGAGGAGGCGCAGACAGCACTTTTGGTATCGATATTGTTGGAGATAAAATTATAATTCATTATTAATTTTCAGTATTTTCATCTGAGTTAAGTATAGATGAAAATCCTTTTTTTCCTGCGAACACTCTGTTGAAGAAGTTAAGAAGGTATCTTCTAGAGTGAGATCCAGTTAATACATAAGACAAGAGTCATCTAATTCAGAATCTTTTCGGCATACATCTTTATCACTGTCCTTATTGAATCATAACGGTTACCTCTGTTTTCCACCCAGACATTCCAGATCGGAAAATATTCACTGCTGTGGGATTAAAGCCTACAACATTAAAGACCCACAGATGAAGTGCTGTGCAGGAACACTGTACAATCTGACACTGTTAGATGAGCATGGACAGGATGCACAGTGTTGCGGATCCCTTCTGCAAAAGCAACAGGTAGAGTTAATATTACTGATGCTATCTCAAGATCTACTCCTTGTTTATGTAATCATGTCTTACACCTTATTAGGTCATAAGATCTTAGAGTAGAAGAGAATGGAATAGAATAGAATTCAACTTTATTGTCTCTCCTACAACATGCAATGATCCAAGCACACTCAGTGGGAGGAGGTATGCAAAATATGGAGAGGGGCTTCCAACTAGTGCAGATGTGCTCCCATGCAGTCCTCAACCCATCTATCTTCTTAGCTAAAAATATAACTATTAACATCCTTGAAGGCGCGTGCCAATGCACAGCTGAGTTTTGTTCTGATGTACTGCCTTTCCTATGTTGTGACATGTGGACAATGGTCCAAGGACACTTTGGGGGAGGAAATGTGCAAAGTACTTTCAGAGGAGGCTTGGCTGCTGTGAGGAAGGAGAGGGAGAGATGAAAGGGTGGCTGCTGTTGCAGGTTTAAGCCTTGATTATAATATGTTACAAAGATGGACATGGATACCTGGAGACTTAACAGTGGTCATTCCTCTTACACTTCTTTGAAGTCCGCTTGATGTCTCCCACCTGGGTATATGATGAGTCAGTACATTGTCTGCAGATGTTCCTAGTACACATGGACCATAATAAACCAAAGCTTTCAAACAAGAAGTTTTGTGATGTCAGTGAGCTGGACCCATTGGCATGGTTTGTCACAGTTTCCAGGGTTTTCCATTAGGTCCAGGTGCTTTTTTAGTAGCTGCTCGGCGCGGATTCCAAGCAATCCAAACAGGTACTAAAATATGACGTCGTCAGACTGGTTGCCACAAATTGGGTGGTAGGTAGCAACACTTGATGAGTCATGAGAGTATCTCGTTTGCGAAAATCCATAGTCTGCTTCGAAGTCCACCTAAGTCCACCTGTTGGAGCATTCGTGTCGCATATCAATTGCAATGTGGAATGCACAGATATGTTGCTATGACAAGCACACAAATAAGGTACTAGTGGGTTGTAATGGAAAACCAGTCAATCCGAGTCAAGTTGTTTTGATTCGTAGAGAGTTGATCCGAGTAGGTACTAATGGAAAAGGGGTTATCGAGTCACACGTTAAAAAAATTGACTTTGCTCATTGGCCCAGTCCAAACTGCTTTCAACTCCACTGCCGTTGGTTGGCTTTAAACCAGTGATAGTCTTTATGCCAACCAGACTTCCTTCCCTCACAAGAATTTCCTCCACAGTTTAGGGATAAAACATCCAAACAAAAGCTAAAAAATGTACTCTGTGCTGTGCATTACAGTGCTCAGATTGTTACATAGGAGAAACCTAAAAATCCCCCAGATGCATGGTACAACACAGGAGAGCCAAGTCATCAGGATAAGACTCGGGGAGAACAGACACTCATTTGAAGATTCCACCAGAAAAACAGTTGGTTTAAGAGAGGAGCAAAGCAGTCCAATGACGATCACTGAATAGAGGTGGTGGTCTATGACACCAACTATCAGACAGTCTTGAAATCCCTTCCCTGGTGTTTCAAACCACACTTGAAGCACACCTTGAACCATGTGATCTTAATAACTCACATGATTGCATGGTGGGGTAGTGTCTTACAAGAGATTCACACTTTGGCTTTAATTACCATAATGACACTGCTAGATTTGCACACATTTGCTGTTATTGAAGTCACTTAAGACTAACATGGACTGGATTACTGTGAATCTACACAGACATACAAAGCTGATTTTAGCTGATGTAGCAACATTACTGGGTGAACTTGACATTAACTAACACATTCCTCAAAAACGCCAAACAATTATGTTTTTATTAAATATAAAGAACACTGTCTTTTTAAAACCAGGACATTTGCTGCTCAAGTGAGGACAGAGAAGTGCTATACTCTGCTAAAACGGGATTCAGATGCTGTGGTCACCTCTACTTCAACACCACCCTGTGGTCATGCTGTGCTGAGCGGCTGAGATCAATCCATGAACCAGGACAGGATCGGAGAAAGATGAATAATGGTCTGTCATTTCTACTTAAAAGTCCTCTCACGAAGTAGAACTAAATTTTGTGTCATTTGAACTTAATAGCACAGCTTAGATCATGTATTTCACCTGTTCTGTGTCTATAATGTTCTTTTACAGAATCCAGACTTCAATCAGTGAATAATATGAACAAAACTGATCTTTGCAAAAAAAGTAGGACATCAGTCTATATGTAAATGTAAAAAACAAAACAAAACATTGGAGCAAATGCTGTTTAGGAATTAATGGGGGTTTGTAATGCAATGTATTTGTGTGCGTCTCTGTTTAGTGCGCATCGGGACGGTGGAAAGTGTGTCTCTGCATAGCATTGTGTTCAAGAGCGTGCTGAAGATCCGTGGAAAGAAGGCCAAAGTGAAAGCGTTGCCTTTCCCTTATATCTTGAAAACAGATGATCACTGCAGCTCACCCAAACTGATTCCTGGGAAGACCTACTTCTTTAACAAAGTTAATGTTTTCACCGATTCCAACCATGACACTGTTCTTCAGTCAGTCCACTTCATTTTTTCTAAGTGTTCACCTTAGATCACCAGTCACTGATGGATACATATTACTTCTTACTCACACACTGATTTACATTTTTTCACAACAGCTATTACAGAGATGCGTTGTCACATAACGGTCTGTTACCCCTAAAACAATCAACCGTAAAGGTACTCATCATCATAAAAAAATTAAACCTGACATTTTACCAGCAATACCAGCAGCAAAGTTGGTGAAAACCAACCCAAAGAGATCTTTTCAGTTCATCATTGCTTTTCTTACTCATTCAGGCACAAAATATGACCTGTTTGCTTGGATTAGCATGCTTGAACATTGCTCTGGATCCCACGGATCTTCATGAGCTTTACTGATCTTTATTTTACCTTTTCAGATTTTTGAATAGGTTTGAGTTTGCATTTGCAGCAGTGTTGCACTGCCAAAATTTTAGGCCAGTCACTTTTTTTTTTCTACAAGGCGAGATCAGTTATTGTTGCACAAATAACAGTTGGAGGTTTTTTGTTTGTTTCTTTTAAAATTTTCTATTACACAGATTATGTAACTTGAGTAAAAAGAAAAACAAAGCTAGTTTGCCAGTAGCAGAGAACCATTTACCTTATTTAGAGACAATATTACTGCAATACAGACAAATGTGATGTAAGTATACAATGCATTACTTTTTATATCACACCCACACTGGGTACTTATTTCATTAAGAAAATCACATTGTGAAACAAAACAGCAGTATCAGTTATTAGTGATATTACTTATACATTGTTATCAATATATTATACATTGTTTTTCAAATATTGCTTCACTTTTTACTTTACTCTGCCTCTATTCAGCCAAACCATGTTCCTCTTTGGTTTAAGATGACCCAAAAATATGGAGTTATTTTTGTGCCACTATTCTAAGCGCACGTAAAAAAAATTGCAGTTGCATTTTGAGGAGAAATTTATTTTGAGCGGAGAAAAGCTAAACTTGAGTGAACAAAATTCATTGCTGCATGCAAAAAATGTATTTCAGTGTTTGCTATTATAGCAGCCCCTCTCGCTCAGTTTTTGCATTTGCGCTTGCTCTCAATGTGTTGCTTGTGCTCTCAACATGCCCGTGCACATTCAACTCTTTCTGTACATCTGTGCCACAAAACCAGCCAGTCACAGACTTGGATGCAAACAAATCTGATTGGCTGTTTTGGTCTCCAATCAGCTCGAAATGACGAAATGCAATATCCCAGAATCCATTTCGTCCAAAACTCAAACGAGGCAGTGGCAGAGGAACACAGAGTGGCGGAGTTTGAAATATTACTCTTTCTGGCCACAAAATAAACTTTTAAGATATTTTCATGCGAGAATGGTGCTGTGTAAACTTCAAATATCTGCTCGATTTATCAAGACATCACATATTTACAAAAGTGCTCTAATGCTTTTGGAGATGCCTGATAGCCACCAGCTGACCGCATAGCTGGACTGGCCATTGGGCATTGGGCATTTGCCCGGTGGGCCGATAATATTGGGGATTATTATTTTTATGCTTTTATTTTCTGAATCTTGCACTAAACTAAATTATAAATGGCGACTGTTTGCACATCATTAACCCATATAACTGAATGTATACATGTTCTATTAATGGCATTCTTTTATTTTTATTGATTAAGCTACTAGATGTACTCAACTTGCCATTTATCATGAAATATGCTTTAGGGACCCAAAAGACCACACAGAGGTCACATTTAAATGTCTTGGGTTTGTTTACTTGTAACTACTAATTTTTGTTCTCCTTGGTTTAAGCTACATTTCTTTTATTTGGAATATGTTTGGCATGTATTTCACTGTATGTTTCTTCACAATATATAAGACACACCTTTAACCCAGAGGCACACAATTTTATATTTTGCATGTTTGAGTGAAATTGTAGGAGGTACTGTTCTTTTAAGGATAAAGCTTTGAATAAATAAATATAACAGCATGTTGTGTTTTATCTTATTGAATTGATGGTCTTTAGGTTGGTCTTGTGATTATTCATGGATCAAAAGATAGTTCCAGCTGGAGATGAAATGAATACAGAAATATGCTACTTTTTCAAAGTTGTGACTCTTGTGCAAAAAATCCCCTGAAATATAGATTTCAAAGTATGTGGGCTTAAAAATCTAACACTGGATTTGTCGCCTCTCTGAATGACAGAGATGTACTCACCCGCTATAACTGTGTTAATGCTCTTGTAAATCTTTGGCCTCTTGTCCCCATGTAACAGCTGTCTGACAGAACATGCTGTATTGCCCTTGTTTCAGCTACTTGAGTGGACTCAGTGGATTGTTTAAGTTAGAGTCATTATAATACTGACAAGTCAAAGTTTATTGTATTTTTTAGTTCATGGGGAAGACATGTGTTTCATCAAAACTTTGTTCCTAAATCTCTCATTTAAGGTGTTGCATGTTGTCCATGTTGTTTACGTTGACTTCTTAACAACAAATGACATTAATGAAGGATTAATCCTTCATTAATGTTTCAGAGAGCAAAGAAGGTGATTTTTTTTAGGTTTTACAACACTTGTTTGTGAAGAAATACATCTATTATCAAATAAGACCATCTCCCGTTTCACCTAAGACATGAAAACTGTCACAGGCAATGTTTGGAGTGTGTAGTTGAAGGGAATTGAGAAAAAAACTAACAAAAACTTAAATTGGGGACAGCTAAACATAAGCATATGAGATAAACAGAAAGCACATTATAGAAACCTGAAACCTGGAGAAACCTGGGGACTTGTAAACACGAGAAGTACAGCAGTGGATGATGAACAAGAGAGGATAAGCACGTGATGAAGAGCAGAGGTACGCAGATGAAGCATCGGGGATGACAAATGGACAATCTGACAAGGCGCAGAGGAAAGCACACACTATATATACATGCACACAAGGTAAGGAAATGCACAACAGGAGGGAGACACAGATGAACATAATAGACATGACGAGACAGGGAGGAAGTAAAACAAAATGGATTAACGTAGGACACAGGTTGGCAAAGATAAACAGGATAACAGGATAAACAGGATAAACAGGAACACATAACGCCGGAACAGAAACCGAGAGACTAGAAATAATAAATGAACTCAAAGATATAATAATTCAAAATATTAAACACTGGGTCACCGACCCAGGACCTTGACAAAAACAAACAGCCATCCACCCATGTTCTTCCGCGTATTCAATAATTATTCACTAATTATTCACTAATATATCATAAAAAATCCTAATCACTAACCTTTACTGTTATCAATATTAATTATCAATAATAATTAAGACTCGAGGTACAAAATGTGCATCACCTAACATCCACATGTTTTAACTGTCGGAGGAAGCCAACAGTCCTCAGTAGATGTACAAAATGTGCAGTAGCTACAACAGCATAACGGTTTAAATATTTTCATTTTTGTGCATTCAGGGTCACTTATGGAAAGGTTTTTAAATTAGAATTCAAAATATAAAGATAGATGTTGCTGGGCTTAAAAAAAAGCATGCCTTGCAAGAACAAACAGACATGAAGTAATTACTAAAAGAAATGTTTTAAAAAAAGAATAAGATGAATAATTGCTTTCTCTTGTTGTATTCTGTTTGTTTGGGGGTGTTTTTCTGGTTATTGTTATTGGTGCAAGTAAGTGACTGTGTAGAAGAGAATTCAGGAAGGCTCCAAGCCAATGGTATGACTCTACCCTGGCGCCTTTTTGTTTAATTTTGGCACTCATGCTCATTTTGTTACATTCCAGTTAGTCCCAGGTTTTCCAATGGAAAATGTTACAGTATTTACATGAGAGGGATTTCATACAAGAGGGAAAATACCAAACATATTACAGAAAAAACTGGCAGCTTTTAAGGACACAACTAAATACTTAACATTCCACTGAAGACTAGGCAAAGAGATCTGCTTCCTTATTTCCTCCACATTACTCATGAGAAAGAGTAAAAGCCCTCAGGGTGGATTTGAACCCAGATCTCTGCATTGGCCTTAAGCCCAGTGAGTTAAACCAGCACCAATATGTTCAAAATCCATTTCACATCTTACATTAAAAAAAATTGTACCAACTGTATAATTGATTGATGCTGTAGAGCTGTTAGTCAGTGGGACAAAAGGTTAAAAAGACTCCAACATCAAAATATATTCTTTCCCTATGGGAGTACAGACATTCCAATGCAGTCTCATTATTAAGTCATTAAAGGCAAACAAAAGGAAGGACAGAGGAAGGCCTGCCTATGCTGTGGCATTTCTTAATCAAGGTCGAGTTATAATTCAAGGAAGCATGAGTACAATGAGTGATAATACGCAACTAAAACATTGACTGGGTGCTTAATAATATTTAGAATAGAATAGAATAGAATAGAATAGAATAGAATAGCCTTTATTGTCATTGTACAAAGTACAACGAAATTGGAGTGCCACTCCCTTGGTGCAAAATGCAAAATAAATATAAATGTAAAATATAAAAAGTACAATAAAACAACTGTAGTACTCAGACAATAAATAAGTACAATATATACAGAATAGCAGCATAATATAATGATAGTATGAATAGCAGCATAGTATAGTGACAATGGCAAGTATAGTTAAGCAG